TGTCGAACCCTAACGATTTTGGTCGGAAATAAAATAAACCCCTGCAGACAAAACAAGCGTTTTGTTATGATACGGGTTACGTGTGGAGAACGGATGGTGTGAAGCTGTACCTGGATCGCGTACAGGGTGTCACAAAGTTCCCTTCACGTGTTTTTTTTTTACCTGTTGGCTTCCGAGTCAAGCTTGTAGACAGAAAATAAATTTGTGATAAATAAAAATGGTTAATTTAGTAACAAATTTTTACTATATACATCGGCATATTTCTGTGAATTATAATTTATTTACGTTAACAACAAAATCTGCCCATACAACATGAAAACAACAACCCCTGGATAGGAGCAAGCCAAATAATTATGAAAAAAACTAAAATGTTTTCTGCAAAAACTGATTAAACGCCTACAAACATTCTATTAAACTATTAAGGAGTAAAAATTTAATTTGCCTACACGGTTATTATTATTCATTACTCACAAACTTGTATTCAAAATTTGTCGCTGACGTTTCAAATTTTTCGCGAACAAAATTGGATGACTCAGTATTTCCTTGAACTAAATTTATATTCAGTCATAATAAAATAGTAGGGCCCAGTCATTTTTTTTTCTCTCCTACGAAAAAGCCCTGCAATCATTCAGGGAAAACGCGTCGGTAAGGATGAATCACGGAATTTTTTTAATATGACTGAGCGTCGTAGCATTTATTATCGATTAATTATGTCCCGTATTAGTCATGATTAAACTGCAAATATTTGTGTCCCCGAGATGATTTTCATATTCTTTTTTTTATGGGAAAGCGCAAATAAAATATACTATTTTCATTTGGTACGTAAGGCCCTTAAAAATTGTTTGTATTGTCCCCAGATAATTAAAAATTTAAATTTGGATGATTTGGAAATTGGAACAGCATTTAATTCCAAATATAATTGAAGTAATTTTTTTTAATTTAAAATAACTAAAACTACATATTCGTTTCACGAAAAAGATATATAGGAAATTTTTGTTCGAAATTTTATATACCCTGCAGCCAAAGGAAGTTAAAGAAATACCATTGGCGTAGATATTCCACATTTTCGTGGGATTTGTGTTCATCAGAAAATAAAAAATTGTATAAATTAGATAAACGCATTTATTTTTATTTTTTTTTGTAGAAAAAACGTCATATTTTGAACAAACTTGTCGAATTTGGCACTAAAAGCAAAGCGTTATCTCTATTTAAATCATACCTGAATAATAGAGTGGAATTTGTTCCATATAATGTGTTTGTATCATACAACTACTTTGCAACTTCGGGAGTCCCTCAGGGCTCACACCTTGGGCCTTTATTATTTCTCATTTTCATTTACGACATTTGAAAGTAGTTGATCGTAATAAGCTGTTATTTGCCGATGTTATGAAAATCCTTACACCAATTTGTTCCAGTGTTTGTCGTTGTCGTGTGGTTATTTCCACAACTTCCAAGGGTTAATAAGGGACATAATCTCGAGGGTAATAAATCGACTTGTTCGAATTTGAGGTCGATCCCGCTCGCATCCGCTCGCCGGGGCGAGTCCGGCTCTGTCGGTGGCAGAAGAAACGGGATGCGTTCCGTCTTGGATTACCCGGCAGGCCGGCGTTCTATTCTGGGGCGCGATGAACTTCCGGTGCAGGGCAGGCCGGAAGCGTAGCACGTGGACGGGGCCCCCCCGCGAACACGCACTCAGACGGCCGCGAATGCACGTATAAATATAGCCCAGACACCCCTCTGTAAGGCGGAGGCGTTCCATTTCGGGGTCTTTACGGTGTCCGCGGGAGCAGAAGTTGACGGTCGTGCCATCGGCAGGCGAAAAGCGGAAGGACGGATTCAATTCGGCCCGTCTAAAGAGCGAATTCGACAGAGTGGCGTGCGATCCGCCTTAAAAGCGCCATCTATTTTTTGCAGAAAAAATGCGTAAACATTTTCATTAAAAATACCCATTTCTGCCTTGTTTATTTTGTACAAAAAAAAAAGATCAGTGCTGAATGATTATGTTTCTCGATGTGTCAGTTTCCAGCATAGGCGTTTCCTTTCGTGTCTTAGTCAAATTTTTCCTTGTAGTTACTATTCGCTTTTCCTTTCAAGACAATTGCTCGTAGGCATCCCATCCCTTCTTGCATTGGAATGTGCCGAGTTGTTGAAAAGTTACCAGGGGTTCACTAAAAATATATCATCTCGTCCCACATTTCAATCCAGGTGATGCAGCCCCCGAAAGTAGTTCTGTTGCCACATGTAGCTTCAGGCAGGGGTGACGGATTTTATCTTGTAATCCACTTCTATGCCACGGCTTATTGTGGTATGTGCCTCTCTCTTATACTGTGGCCAAAAAGGTCGAAAGGTTCCGTTCCGTTGTGACAGAAGCGCATATTAAACCGTTTTTATTTTAGAATCGGTTCCGTTTCCGTTATCGGAATCGGCTCTCACCTTATCCGGTGGGAATTTCTGCTGCATTTCCTGCTACCGTAACGCGACGTTTCTTTTCCTGTTCTCAGATATGTGCCCGACTGATAATTACCCATTATCTTGATTAAAATTAATAACTTGATAACATCTCAAGTTGGTAGATTTATGTTTTTTTCTGAATTGATGTTTTTTAAGAGAGCTGTCTTTGGTTTTAAGGTTATTAGCCATTCTCGACGCCACCTAGCGGCGAATACTACAATTATCGCGAACTACAACACGAACAATTAACTACGAACAATTATCCAAGGCTTTGTTTAGGTCACAAGGTTATGAAGTTTGTTGTTATGTTTTGCTTCACTTGTGCACCTACTAGATAGAGTTGAATCCAAAAATAAAACTATAATTGTCGGGTGAATGTAATAAACGCAATTGTAGTACTGTTCTTCAAAGTACAAACTTTATTTAGAACTGTCGATCACGAGGTGATTGTGGCGCCCTTTTCAAGGTCACGAGCTTTAATTTCTTCTCCGTTTTAATTCTTGGCGATGTATTGAACTAAAAAAAAAATACGGGGTTGTATGTCCCATTGCTCTCGACGTGTCGCATTCGGCGCCATCGAGTCATCACTCGATTTTAGCCCTCGCGCGTTAATTGCATCCAGAAATAGGCCGCGCTCACATTCTTATCTTCGCGAACATCTGTGCCAAACTGCGGCGTTGTTTATTGCTCTCTTGGACGCGTCGTACGGGGAGAATGGTCTCGTTTACTATAAATTATTGCGCGTATTTGTTTACGATAACAAAATTTCTTGCGCTTCCCGTTTAAAGCGCCCTCTAGTCGAATCTCGTTTTCGTCATTGGCCGTTAGATGGCGACCGGACCGGATATACTTTTTGTATATTTTCTATATTACATACTCGATCATTTCCTCCCTTTTGTTATCAATTTTAGGACGATAAAAAATCGTTATTAGTATATTTATGTTACGCGCGTCACAAAACTCATCCTTACTGTTAATTACGCCCAAAAATTAATAAAATAGAGAATAAACCTTTAATTGAACATTAAAGGTAAATACTTTACGTTGGCAAAAAGCAAATCGATGTATTTTATTTCTTAATTATTCGCCCAGCTAGAAAATTATGTCTTGTAGAATCATTTTAAGGTCGGCAAGTGTTCGGGTGTCCTTGGAACCGCGTTGTTGTATTGTTTGTTATTCGTCGGCCGGCTGGATCTGTCCACCGAGAGAGAGAAGACTCTTTCAAAGGTGCCATCTAGCCGGAGAGGTCGGGTCGTTCGAAAAAAACAAACAGACCTCAAAGATTTTTTTCTCGGGGTTCCGGACGAACGTTCTTTGATATTTCTCGGATTTCCGTTCTAGGAATTCCCTAATTTGCAAAATTTCCCACCGCATTTGTGAGCCGCCACACTTATATCGTTCTGACCGCAGGTCGGAATCGCATTTTGTGTTTTTGAATGGCGGCAACGCCGTTCGCATCAAAAATAGACGAGTGGCAACGCCTTTTTCCGAAACACGTTGATAATAGTATGAATTAGCGCGCGAATTGCACGTTCTTTGTGGCATGTCTCCGCTTTTATCCTTTCCTGTGACACGGCAAAGATCACTGCAAATCGGAAAATGTGTCAAGGTGCGCTTTAATCTGGTAAAGGGCCGGAAGCATGTGAAGCGTAGGAGCATTGGGAAAACGGAGGTCGCTTCCCTATTGATCGCCCATTCCGATGCCAGAAAAGGCATTAGCCCCTTGCGGAGGTACTTTCGCGTTAGACTTTTCGGTACGAACCCGTTTTTAAAATTCCCATAATACAAAATGTTTTGCGTGACGTGTAATAATTATAATAAAAATAATTTTTATCTAGTTGTAATGCGGCGCAATGTATAAAAATATAATCTAATACTCGGAATCGAATTAAAAAGTTTATATTTATTGTCGATTGGCCCTGGGCCTCCTCTACTCGCTACCTAACCAGAATTAAAAGAACGTAATATTTTCAGTTTGAGATACGCAGCGGCAAACTGTTGTAGGACGCTCCAGACATTGGGCGGTGCTGCGCGAAGTTGAATGAAACGGTATGGGTATGAAGCGCGCGTACTACAGAGCGTTCAACGATCTCTACTTGCCGCCGCGACCGAAGTGCCTCTCGCGGCGATGCCACTAAGTAAGTGGATTCAGCATGGCTGTGGGAACGCTTCGTGTTTCCTCTTATTATTTTCCTTTGGAATTAAAGAAAAAATGCGTCGATTTTATTTATAACCAGTGATTAAATGTTAATTGGTGTCCCGGGGAAGTGGTGCAGTGTTTTATAATGTGATTTTCTCGGTATGTTGCGTAAATTTTTATGAAGCGTTTCCGGTTAACCTGCAAGAATATTTTGGGCTCAAATCAAAATGGTGGGCAAAACCGCGTGCTTCTACGTTTGCCGCTTTTTTTTCTTATTGCCTTTTAGAAGGTTATAAAAACATCGTTAACCTCGATAGGTTTATTGTAAACAGAAATTAATCGCATTATTGTTTTATTTTAAATTGTTTTTAATGCGATACTATATTTCATTATCATTTCTTTCTTGCAGACTTGATGCTCCGTGCCGACTTACTGGAACAAATTCCACACATTGCGGCACAAGCCATGGAATGCTCAACTAGAGTAAGTGCGCTGCAGGATGTTGTTAGTGAATACCTCATACCGTTGGTGGTCCGAAACTTAGGATCTACCGACACTGCTGTCGATAGGGCAGCCCATGCCACACTCATTCGTTTAATCGAAGAAGATTATATAACGAAACAGCAAGCCGAGATACGAGTATGCCCTTCTATCTTGGCACTCTCTAAAGTGGAGTCCATAGCCGATATTAATACAGGAGCTGTCACGGTAAGTGTCTGCGAATTACAAGCTCAGATATAACGAATACTGTGTAGTATTTCGAAATAATAACTTGGATTGAAACTTTGGATTTAGTATATTGATTGATAAAACTTTCCATTACGAGTTGTGGCGGTGACTTCTTGAAAGACATGGGTAGTGAGATGTTCAACTTCTTCGTTGTCTCACTACCTTGTCTTTCATGGAGCTATTGCCGTTGTCACCATGTGGATTATTTTTACTAGCGGTACGAACAAAGGTTTGCCGTTACCCATCAGAGTTGGCAGTTTTAGATTCCACTTTTCTATCACAGCCAGCTTTGATGAGCAACGTTGAACTCAAGGCCAACTACATCCGAAACGCCGCAACGGGATCCCCCTCAAGCTGCGCCTTTGACCTATTCATCAACTTGGTTGTGAATTCTTTCGTTTGAATAAGATATCACAGCCACTTTGATGAGCTAGGTTGTGGGCCGAACCATCAATGAAGAAAGTTGCCGAGACGAAATTCTGTGTCCATCGATAGGTTCACGTCGTAGCGCGTCAACTTGGCTGTGGGACCTTTTACCTTACGGGTATCACAGCCATTTTGACGAGTTGTGCCGTGGACGCAGCCACCGCCGCAGGATGCAAGTACCTCTCCGATACGTCAAGGTGCAGTCTAGATGCGGTGCCGCTCGTCAAGTGGTTGTGAAACGGATGTTCAACTCGTATCACAGCCAGCTTTGATGAGCGATGCAACATTCACATTGTCGTCGACGAAGGAGTGCCTTTCTCCCGTTATTTTTTTTTTTTTTTTTAGGATGTCCAGGCTTCATCCTGTGGAATTTCTGTGCGTTCGCCCTCATCAACTGGATGTGAAATGTTATTTTATTCATATCACAGCCAGCTTTGATGAGCGTGAGAGCGCAGGGTAGTCAGCGAGGGACGTCGAGGTATATATTTTTAGATGAAAATTTGGTTTTGAACTGTGGCATTTTATATTATGGCAAAATTTATTAGCGAACGTGTATAATTTATAAAATTATATATTTTTTTATTATGGTACGTAAAAGTTATTCCAGACTGCAGTTACAAGTTAATTAAAAAATATAAATATTTCTATTCTATGATTTTGGAAATCTGTTTCCTTGGAATTAATTGGAAAATAAATTTCTCACGTGGTTTTTTTTCGTGGATGCCAAAATGCTTGCAAAATCAGCCCCGGAATATGTTTCTATTACTCTTTTTTTATTTGATTGGGTCACAAAAAAAAATTAATAACAGCCAAAAAATCAATTGTTTTATAAATCTAGTTTTGCCTAAAGGAAAATATCTCGTACTGAGAAAGTTGATAATTTTTCACGACACAATAGTCACTATAAAAAAATTTCACAGCTTACATTTCAAAAAACCTTTTTTTCAGTATCAAAACTTGCTCGAATCGACAAAAGTCAAATGTGAATTTCCTTGTCTCATTTATCTACATTGAATAGTGACATATCATATATTTTCTATTTTCTCATCATTTGCCGAGTGTTAAAAATAGTTTCTGCCAAGTATAGGGTTAAAATCCGCTAGAATAGATGTGAAACCTCTAAAATTTTTATTTTTAGAAAAAATTCTTGATACGAAAAAGTTATATACAGGGTGTATCATAATTCGTAGCGCAAATTGAAACGGCTGTAAGTACACGATAAACGCCTCATTTTCAAGATATTGGGTGTCATAAAAAAGAATTTTGTGTCCAGTTTTTTGACGATTTATCGGAATCCGCTTGAAATCCAAAACAAATTTTTTACATATATTACCATTAAATTGATACTTTTGAGCTCTAATTCAATTTTTATTCATATGTCAGTGGCATAGATTTTAGGATTGCGTGAAGTTCTTTTGCTCCTAATTTTTACGCCTCTGTGAAACATGTCATTTTGAAAGCCTATTTTAAATGGCCAATTTACATGAATATTCATCAAAAGCTGTAACGTGAATCGTTTTCAAGATAAATGGCTCTTTTTGTGATGGAAAACTTGAAAGTGGCAACATGATATAAAAATTATTTCAAAACTAAACAAATAAATAAAAATCACAACAGTTGCTGAAAATGGTCTCCTTCTATGGTAATGCAGGCCTCCAACCTTTGAAAAAGTGCATGTGGAAAATAAGGAAATGAAATAATTTTCTTTGCATTTTACGTGTTATTTGTGCATTATAAAAAAATATTTGTCATAGAGAAAAATCAAAAAATACCTGCTACAAATTGTTAAAAGTTTTAAAAAGAGTGACCGCAAAATCTGCCTGTTTTTGAGACTTTGACAAAGGCGACAGGAAAAATCCTAAAAATATTCTAAAAATATCCAAAAACTCATGGAAAATGAAAATGAGCATCAATTTCAGTTTTTCGAAAATCACCCTTATTTAGGGGTTAAAAAGACAAAAAAAAGTGAACAAATTAAGAATCATCAACAGTTGTAAAACCCCAAATATTTCTATGTCATCAAAATAATATTATGATCGTGAAAATATCTAATTTCGTATTTGATACGGTCTTGTCCGGATTGAAAATCAACCCTTAATATCCCTAAAGGGGTATATACTTGTGTATAAATTATTCTGTTGAATGTATTTCGAAACATTATTTTTTTCATGCATTATAATTATTTTATGTACTTTGAAGCCGATGGTTGAACTTAGGGGTGGTTTTACCCTCATGTAGGGGTATTTTCCTTCGGATCTAGTGATTCTGGGTTATTAACGGTTCAATTATCACGTATAAAAGAAAAAAAATTGTCACTTTTATTATATTTTTTGCATTTTTACGCGTTTAGGGGATGATTTCACCCCTTTAGGGATATTATGGGTTGATTTTCAATCCGGACAAGACCGTATCAAATACGAAATTAGATATTTTCACGTTCATAATATTATTTTGTTAACAACATAGAAATATTTGAGGTTTTACAACTATTGATGATTCTCAATTTGTTCACTTTTTTTGTCTTTTCAACCCCTAAGAAAGGGTGATTTTCGAAGAACTTAGAGTGACGCTCATTTTCATTTTTCATGACGAGTATTTGGATATTTTTAGAAAATTTTTAGGAAACAGGTGGAAAAATGGCTTTTTTGTGGTCACTCTTTATGTTCTACTACTGTTAATATAAAATCACTAAAAATTATAGACACTTCCGATTGCAAATCGCTTGTAAAAACCTAATTTACCGTTCCTGCATCTTTTACAGACTTCTAAACAAATAAACGCTACAAATTTTTGTTTAATTCTCAACATGTATACCATGAGATAAAAATATATATTGAAACAAAAAAATTTTTGCCATAATACCAAAATTCTTTACCCGATACCACGATAACAACTACTAACGGCTTTCCCCTATCGTTTTGCAGCTGATGAGCAAACTGGCGCCGTTATTAGGACGCGACGTCACCGAAAGGGTATTTCTGAAAAGGTTCTCGGAATTGTGCGCCAGTCACATGTTCTACATAAGGAAAGTCTGCGCCGCACGTTTCGGGGAGTTCTGTACGGTGGTGGGGAAGGACGCTTTCGAGAAAATACTGGTTAGTGCAAAAATAAAAAATATACAAGGCATCCCGGGACTTTGAAAGCCCCCGTTTGGTCGGAGTGGTTCATATAACGCTTTTCTCATTAGTGCGTTTTGCGTTTCTGCGATACAGGGCGTTGAAATTTTTACCTTTGAAGAGGGTTATCTTTAGATCGGTTAAAAATGAAAATATCCAAATTTGTACGTGAATAACGTCGACTATCTTTAGCCGATTTAAAGATAATTGAGAAAAATCTTCAATGTAACAACTTCAACATCTCGTATCTCAGAAAGGCAACATTAATGGTAAAAACGAAGTAACCCTACTATTTTTGAAGTATAAACGGGACATCCTGTATAATAATTTTTTTGAAAAACTATAATTTCGCTGCTCATGGATTGAAAAACTGAATTTTTTATGGAATTATTCACTATCTTAAAAAAAATGTTTGCTTTTACAAATATCAACCGGACCTAGTGTCCGGATTTATGCTCCAGTCGAGTAAAAAAAAATTAAAATTTTTATAACCTGAAACATTGAAGTTTCCAAAAAAAAAAATCTAATTGGTTAGAATTTTGGCACTTTTTCCTGGACTGCCCTGTATATTTACTCAAAACAAATACAAACCAAGATTTTATGGTAATACTCTGCGTTTTTAACACTTTCCAAATTATTTGAAATGGGACTGTTGATAACGTCCAATTTTCAGTTGCCCTGTTACATCACCCTCTGCGAGGACGACATCTGGGGCGTACGGAAGGCTTGCGCCGAGGTCATCATGTACGTGTCCTGCGCCTGTCCGCCAGCGGCGAGGAAGCAGATGCTGGCCCCTGTTTTCGCCAAGCTCCTGCAAGACGACTGTCGCTGGGTCAGGATGTCGGCCTTCCAGACCCTGGGCCCCTTTATATCTACCTTTGCCGATCCCTCCATAACGAACGTCGGATATAACAAAGGCGGGGACTTGATATTAGTCAGCGGGGACGGCAGCGAATTACAGTAAGTACTCGGGGAAAGTCACATACATTTAAAAAAAAAAAATGTATAATTCGTTGTTTAGCATGAACTCTTCGATCATGAACAAGTGGAAGATGGATAGGACCTGCGACGTAGACCTGAAATCTCTGATGGGTTTCAGTTGCGGCGAGAAGGAGAAGGCGGAAACGTTTACGGTTCCGAAGGAGAAGATCGGCGTCTCGGAGGACCCGGTTGCCGAGGACGCCGTCCCTCCGAGCAAGGACGATAAAGACACGATAGTCAACGAATTGGACGAGTTCCTGAAGGAGGTCGTGGAGACCGTCAAGAATACCGTCCTCAGCTGCAGGACGGTGGAGGTGGAGCAGGGCGTCATAGGAGAATGGAAGAGTAAGGGCAGGAGGACGGAGGGAGCGAGCGGCGCGCATGTGATAAACGACAAACCCCAATGTGATAACCTAGCTGAAATAATTAATAGTGAATTGAAAGATGGATTGAGCGATGTTAGCTTAGACGGAAGCGAGAAACGTAGCGGGGATAGTGATATTAGCGAACCTTTATCGAATCGTATAGACGGGAACGGTACGAGTAGCGTCGAAATTAGAGAGCCCGTCGAGGATGGCGATGGCAAAAAGGTAAATTTCGTTCGTAGTGAGAATGATGCTAGAGAAGATGATGATTTGCGTTTATTTAATTCGTATAATTATTGGTACACGAGTCCCGATATGCCCTTAGACCCCAGTATTATTGCAGGCGACCGGTCACCCATGTCGGATAATTGTTTTGGCGATGTGGGGGTAAGTAACGTTGGATTTCTCTTTTTATATTTATTTTGCCGACGCGTGCGTGGCCTTAACAGTTTCGTGTCCGATAAAATTTCTGTTTTCGGTGTCAAAAAAAAAGAAATGTTGAATTTTTACTAGAACTTCCATAAAAATATTTTTTTGTATTGTTTGTGGACCGATTTTTTAAAAGTTTAAAAAAATCTGTATGTATTTTATTTTTAAGGCTACGTACGTATGTTCCACACAAAACTTATTACAGTATTTTTTTAATTTCCGGTGACTTGCTTAAAACATTTTTGGAAACATTAAAACTATCTTTCTCTTGATCATAAATTTCACCGTCATTTTTTCTGCTTTTTTTATAACTCCTTTTTTTATTTCTTACTTGCACATTCAGTAGTACCGAGTCAACCCATAATTTTTGGTAGCTGTAAGTACATTTTTATAGTAGTTTGTAGTTTTCCCTTTTGTTTTTGTCATTTTCCACACGTAAATGTAAGTATTCATCAGTTTCATTCCGTGAAAGACGTTCATACTAACTTGGCAGTCAGAGTTGATGTGTTTGTTCAAAATAAAAAAATCAGAATTTAAATTTTCCCGCCAGAACTGGCGCCCTCTTGTGGCAGATCTTTAGAACTATGTCATGGCGGCCATTTCCTGTTTCAAATCTGATCGGCCATTTTAAGTTTTGCACTCAGTTCAAGCAGCCATGTGGCTTGAGGTGTTTGTTGGATTTTGTGAAATGATTAAAATTGTAAAATTTGGCATTTGTAAGTCTGGAATAGGCTGAATTGTTTTTGAATCGGTAAGTGAATTAAAAAAAGAAGATCGCGATTTTAGTATGAAATTTATAATTAAATTTAAATTAAGGTGAGACTTGAAAAAATTAAAGGTATTCGGGAATTATTTCATTCGTACGTATTATCTAATACTGCGATTATAAAAATTCTAATTAATTTACAAAGTGTAAAAATTTCTCGTTTTATTCAGTTTTGATAACGTCAAAACTTCCGTACACGAGTTGTTGAATATTAGGTCAACCAATAGAGGTTTTTTGAAAAATACTTAGTAAATGAAAACCCAAGTGATTTCCCCAGCAAAGACGTGAACAATTTTTTTTTAAACAAAAACTGCAAAAAAATGACGGTTTTTTTATAATATTACGGAAAATAAAGATGGAATCGTCTTACTCTTTATAGAACTTTTGTAGAGAATAAAAAAACCTATAAAATGGTTTTTCGTACGACCCCATCGGTTCGTTTTTTAAAGAGAAAATCCGGAAAAACCTCTAAAATAGATCTTTTTCAAAAATTTGTAAGTCAATTTTTAAGCTGGAAAAACAATCTTGAGGAAAATGACGGATAATAATATGTAGTTTAATCGTGTGCAAGATGGTTTCTGTTCGATGCATAATTTTTGCACAATTGCACAAAATAAACAAATTAGGGTCTTTTTTTTGCACAGCCTGGCGATTTATCAAAAATCATCTGATATAAATACTGAAAACGGCATGTGAAAGCAGACGACAAAATCTCCAATTTATATATCTGGGATTTTTGCCTGGGTGATGGGAAATTATTAAAAATGTCCTCTGCTCGCTGCTTCTCCCACTACTGAGCGTACTTTCGATCGTTTCCCGTGACTTTCAAGGACATTTTTAATATATTTGCCATCACCCAGGTGAAAATCCCAGATATACAAATTGGAGATTTTGTCGTCTACTTTCAGATGCCGTTTTCAGAATTTATATCGGACCATTTTTGATAAATCGCCACGCTATGCGAAAAAAGTCCCTAATTTGTTTATAATGCAATTGTGCAAAAACTATGCATCAGACAGAAACCGGCTTGCGCAAACTACATATTATCATTTTCTCAAGATTGTTTTTCCAGTTTCAAATTTGACAGTTATGAATTTTTGAAAAAAGGTTTATTTTAGAGGTTTTTCCCGATTTTCTCTGTAAAAAATGAACCGATGGGGTCGCACAAAAACCATTTTATAGGTTTTTTATTCTCTACAAAAGTCCTATAGAAAGACGATGCCATCACTATTTTTCGAGATGTTATAAAAAAAAACGGAAAAAAATGTAATTTTTTTGCAGTTTTTATTTAAAAAAAAATTTTCACTACTTTGCTGGGGAAATCACTTGGGTTTTCATTTACTAAGTATTTTTCAAAAGGTAATACATGAAATTTGCTGTAATATTTAAGCATAAAACAGCCCCTTTTCTCGCTGTATTGGTTTTTGAAAATTTTATTATGTTTTAAAATTTTGTCAAAAAATTTCAGTAATGTATCAAATCCTCAGAATATTTTTCCCATCTCCATATTTTCGAAGGTGCCAAACACGAATCCAAAGTTATTTTTGTTTGGTTCAATCTAGTTTTCGAGAAAATAACAGTTTAAAGGTAATTTTTACGATTCAGGTCTTTTTCGTACGTTTCATATACAACAGAAAAATCTAACTCGATCTAATATCTTATCGGTTTAAGTTTTTTTTTATTAAGAATCAATAAGAACCTACACTGGAAACTTCGAAACAAAGGGGATTGGGGTGGGAGAAATTTGGGATTTAAGTGTTTTCCGCCGTAGTAAATAATCGCCGAATTTATTCCAAATGATGATATTAGACGACGGTCTTCTGACACATACATGAAGCACATCATAACGTCTAACTGATTTAGTCGTTCACTTATTTTTCAACTTGTATTCTCGCCACAGCATGTACTGAATATGTTGCGTTATTTATTTTAGTCGCACCTGGAAGACTTATACTTTACTATCAATCTCAGTGATTCCCTCGAAGACACAAAGACGTTCAATGACGACTCTACCATGTCACTCGAAGATTTCAGCAACACTTGTAGCAGTAAGTATGCCGATGGACTTTTGTAAATTAAAAAAAAAATTTATTTGCGAGGCTTCAGGGTTTGGAGACCGCTTTGATGGTCTTTTAATTTAATCGTTACCTCGCTACACCAACTTGTAACAGGTTTTTTGTTGGGGTGTACCGCGATACACTTCAACGTTTGATTTGTTACAAACAAGCGTATAACTTTAAAATATACCGGAAACGGGTGATTTACTGAGTAAAGATCGGCATAACGGACGTTTTTAGGTACAAAAATAGATGTAGTCGTCCGCAGAGAGCCGGATCAGGACATCGTGCCCCAGCTCCTGATCGACCATTTCATATCGATGACCGACCCCAATCAGGCCATAAACATCGACAATGAAGTGACATACCACTGCGCTTTCTCCTTGCCGGCCGTCGCCCTAACCTTGGGAAGCAACAATTGGCACCTGCTGAAGAACACCGTCGACTGCTTGGCTGGCGACATGCAGTATAAAGTCAGGAGGACGGTCGCCAGTTCCCTTCACGAGCTCGCCTTGATCCTGGGCCCGGAAATAGCGACGAACAACCTGACGCCGCTCTTTGACGGCTTCATAAAGGACCTGGACGAGGTCAGGATAGGCGTGCTGAGACACCTGGCCCACTTCCTGAGACTGATCAGTCCGGCAAAGAGGAACGTGTACCTCCCGAGGCTGGCCGAGTTCCTTCAGACCGACAACGAGTCCAACTGGCGGTTCAGGCAGGAGCTGGCGAAGCAGCTGCTGTTAGCCGTGACGCTGTTCAAGCCCGCCGACACTGCCAAGCACATCGGGGTCATCGCCAGGGATCTGCTGTGCGACAAGGTGGCGGCCGTGCGGCAGGTGGCTTTGTCGTTGGTGAGTTATTTTTATTTTTTAACGATGGATCGTGAGATGTACTGACGTTCCGTTACAGATAACCGAAATCATCAAGTACACTTCGACGGAACACGCGTTGATGACGAATCTTTTAGTTACGTTGGCCGAACGTTTCGCTCATTCCAAACAATGGAAGAGGAGGCAGACTTTCGCTCTGTTGTGCTCGGAACTCCTCAAGGAGCAGGCGCTGCCGCCCGAACAGTTCGCTTCCGATTTGCTGCCTCACCTCAACGACCTGAGCTGGGACCCGGTCGCCAACGTGAGGCTGGTGGTGGCGAGGTGTCTGGCCAAACAGATCATCACCAACGGTAAGTTTTGGTATAAACGATTGCAGGTAGCCGTTATCTGATTTCGTTCCCTTTTTTTTATGGGCGTCGTAAAATCCGAAGTTTTTAGTCACAAAAGTAAAAAATTTTAAATGATTAGAACATACAATGCGACACACGATGAAGACATCTTTGTATAAGGCAGACTATGACGTTACACTTGAACGAGAGACGTGCGTCTCTACCCGTGACGGATAATAATGGTGTGTTTCGTTTTCAGACTACTTCTCCGATCCGCGGAACGAACAGTACGAAGGGTTGGAGAAGGTGCTCAGGAGATTGCAAGCGGACAAAGACAGAGACGTGCGGCAGTCTGCCGAAGTGGATTAGTCTACCCCCGCCCCGACTATTGGAAACTTGTTTGTTTATATTCCTGTTCACATTACCAGGCTCGGCCGCGTTTCGTTCAAAGACGTGGCAGTGATGGAACCGTTACTTAACGCGCGAAGTAGTTGTAAGTCTCAAAGTTATCGCGTCGCGCTGACAATTACTTTTTTTTCCGATATTATATTTTTTTAGAAAGTTATAAAATCTACTGCTTTATTTTTGAGAAATGCGGCTGGGTTACCAAATACTGTTATGATTCCTAAATTTTATTCCTCTTTTATTGATTTTATTGAAATTGTTTTAGCAGTTTTTGTTTTTTTTTCTTTTTGAAGTGGCTTGAAAGATTTTGTGAAATTTGTTGTAATTTTTATTGTACCGTTTAAGTTGTAATATATGTATTAAAGTTTAAAATGAATTAAAATATTTGTGCAATTTTATAATTGTTTTTTTTTTTACTGAATTTACGCGTTAAGTACTGAAATACAGGAAAAATGAATATGTCTTAATAAAAAAAAATAGATGAACAAGTTGTCACCAGAAATAAAATTGAATTGGTTGAAATATAAAAAATTGGACTTATAGTGAATTACATTTATAATAAATAGTTCGAGAATAAAGGAATTTTTGTAGGAACGTGGGTGCCAGACGTGAACTAATCCCGTCATAATGCATAAAGAAATTATTCAATTTCTAAACCCCTTAAAACCGTATTGCACTGGATCCCTTGACAAGCAATGATTTATTTGCATTGCTAGACTGTTCAATTTATTTCCACTTTTGCCCTCAATGTGCACTGAGCCTATTATCTCTATTCAAATTGAAGTACAGGCCAATGATATATTCGGGGCACATTAAATGCCCCTAAAGAGAACAAATTGGGAACGCTGTAAATTGTTTTTTTTATCAACTAATTACACTTATTCGTAGCTCTACTACTTGACATGCTAGTTATGTCTCCCAATTTGAAGTAGCCTCTAAAATTACATAAATTTAAAGCAAATACTACCAAAATCCTACGGTACTTACTAGATGTTTGACTTTACGTATTTCGTCCCTTAAAAAATCACATGGTACCTACACCATCTTTGAAGTTCCTAATCGAAATTTTGAAAATTGGTTTAATATTTGATGTATTTCATTATGAGGTTAAGAAATCGGACATTTAAAATAGCGCCCCCTAGCGGCTAAGTTATGCGACTTGGAATATGTTTTACTTCACCCATAGACCACTCTTCATCCCAACCGTCCGTGGTATTCGCGGATATCGTGACAGGAAAAAAAAAGAAATTTCTGCATCCGACGTGTGTAGAGCATATACTACATGGAGGAAGCACCGTGTGTCAAAGAGTGTGTAGACGCTGCAGAGAGAAATGGCAATAGTTTGGGTACACTCTCTCGCTCTCTTAATTTCGTTTAAATCCAATTTAGCCAGTCACATGCCTGCGTGAGAGAGAAATATAATACCCAACTATCTCTTTCTCTCTCTGTCACGCGTCTGCACTGTCGCCGTAAGCTTGCTTCCTCCATGTAGAATATGCTCTGAGGTCATGGAAGACAAAAAATATCCAGAGACTAAGATCGATGCCAGAGACTAAAAAATATTGATTAAAGTCGAAGTCTATGATCATAGAAACGTTATATATCCATATTAGTAACTAAATAAGAGGGTGTTATTCTGTCGGCAGCAGTCTGTAGCTGGTGCAGCAAACGACACACTCGGAAACCACAGACCATAAAATAATTAAGGAAACTGCATTGGAAAACACAATTAGAGTAACCATAATTCTACTATCGAATAGATGTCGCTGCACCATAATGGCGGTAAATTTAAATGTAACAAAATACATAAAAAATATGTGTTTCATAATAGATCACAAAACAAATTAATAGTTTAAGTTAATCATTGAAATTAACGTGAATCATTAACAGCTGTTCCATGACCCATTACTTATGAAAAACTTTAATTATCACTAGGTTAAATGAAAAGTTAAAGCAGTGATACTTAAATGTGTGACAAATATACAAATTCATTTTGTTATGAATTCGAAAATATTTAAGTGTCAAAAAAATGTACAGGAAGCTTCTTGTAATTATTATTTTCTAAAGAAACCATTAAAAACTGCAAATTTTGTGTGTGTGTGTGTGACTAGTGATATGGCTTTGGACGTACCAATTAGCCAGAGCTTCGAAACTGCAAATTTTAAAGAATCTGAAAGAATTATTTACCTGCCTTTATGTAAAACGCATTGCACAGTGACTTGAAAAAAATTATTATATACATTTGTTTCGAAGTAATTGGTTTTCATCAGTACGATGTAATATACTACACTTATAGCAAATAACAATTTCGGTTTTTTAAAATGTGGAGGTGAAAAATCATCCGAAATTGAAGTTCGGCAGCTCGTTACTGTTTTTTAAACATTTTTTACTCAAAATGGTCTTCACAAAAATAATGATGTTTGTTGGAGTAAATTTTGATTTACAAAATTTTCGAACTGATTCTATCCACAGTAATTGTAGAACGTATTACAGATATTCATATAGTAAGAAATGGTTTTGCAATTTGGAGCGCAACATTGACGTTTAGTTCTACCAGGTAAACTCATTTTGCATAAAAAAAAACGAATAAAAAACAGTAAGGCAGTTCAAACGATTTATTCAATAAATCCCTTATTATATTAATCTAAAACAAAACATATTTGTTAATGCATAAAACGCGGCAGCCTACCTGAAGTCCTGAAGATCTATAACCTCAAACTCAAACATTCTACGTTGATTGAAATATTTCAGTCAACGCATTCTATTTCTGCTGATTGAAAGATTGGAAATACAGATTCGATCTGTGGTTGCAGATTTCTGTTAAACAATTGCTATAAAAGACAATGTTTTGCTGCACCAACGTGAGATGGCCTCAGTGAATGCATGCTCCGTCCGTCCTATCCAATAAATCCTCTTATTTATTTACTTTTATGTATATATCAAAGTCAATCCGTATATTTCTTGATTGGTGGCAATTTGTTAATATTTGTTTTAATTTTTAAACCGAATTAGATAACAGATAAGGATGCAGAATAATAGGGAATTATTAATTAAACAACAAAGGCGATTAACACGATTAATCGAGTCGTTCCGACTGCGTTAACGCAAGTTTTATTTAGAGCATTAACTTGATAACATTAATAAACACTCCGAAGGTCAAAATGTTGGATTACGTTTCTAGTAATTACGTGTTTATCGGTAGAAGCGGAAAATAGTGGGAATATTTTCTCCGAGAGAACAAATCTGAAAGTGGTGAAATGGGGCCCCTGGTAGGTGCGATCGACGAGGGCACTTCGAGTGCGAGGTTTATTTTATTTGAGGCAGGAACTATTAACGTGGTAGCTTCGCACCAGCAGGAACTGTCACAGATTTACCCCCAGGAAGGATGGGTAGAACAAGACCCAATGGAGATACTGAAAGTTGTCAACATCTGTATTGAGAGTGCCATCGACAAACTTATAGCGTCAGGGGGTAGTGTGAACGATATTGTGGCAGTAGGTGTTACGAACCAGAGGGAATCCACGATAGTTTGGGACAAAACGACTGGGGAACCTTTATACAACTCTATCGTGTGGCTGGATGTGAGGACCTCTTCGACTGTCGATCAGCTCCTCGACGGGGTCCCAAACAAATCTAGAAATAAAAATTACTTGAAGCCTCTGTGCGGTTTGCCTTTATCACCATATTTCAGTGCTGTTAAACTGAAATGGCTTCAAGAGAACATCCCCAAAGTCAAAAAAACTATGGCAGCAGGAAATTGCTTATTTGGAACTGTCGATTCCTGGTTAATATGGAATTTGACTGGTGGGAAAAACGGTGGCATCCATATCACCGATGTGTCGAATGCTTCGAGAACTATGCTGATGAATATTGAAACCTTGAAGTGGGACCCCGTATTAATAAATTTCTTTGGTGTTCCGAGTTCCGTTTTACCGACTATTAAATCAAGCTCGGAAGTGTATGGATGTATTGCTGAAGGCTCACTGAGAGGCGTCCCGCTAGCTGGGTGTCTTGGTGATCAACAATCCGCCTTAGTCGGTCAGCAGTGTCTTAATAGAGGACAGGTATTTAGCACAACAAGGACAGACCTAATATTTACTCTATTAGTTGACACGATTTATTTACTTGTTTGTTTATCACTTTTTAGGCGAAAGCTACCTATGGAACGGGTTGTTTCCTTCTCTACAATACCGGCAACATAAAAGTTCACAGCACGAAAGGTCTTATCACCACAGTTGCATATAAGCTTGGCCCCAAAGTTCCTGCCGTGTACGCCTTAGAGGGATCCGTTGCTATTGCCGGGGCTGCGTTGAACTGGTTGAGGGACAATCTAACAGTCTTACCGAGTTTCGGGGAGGCGCAGGAAATTTCTGAAAAAGCCACACGAATCGAGGGCGGGGAAGTATACTTTGTACCGGCATTTAGTGGCCTCTACGCGCCTTACTGGCAACAAGAAGCTAGGGGGTGCGTATATATCACTCGCTAATAAAGAAGAAAACAATTTTTTTTATCGTAGGGTAATTGTGGGCATTTCGGTGGACACCGAGGCTTGCCATATCGTTAGAGCCACCCTAGAAGCCGTTTGTTTCCAAGTTAGGGATATTTTGGAGGCGATGAATAAAGATTATGGATCACATTTAACGAATTTACAGGTAATTGACACCCATGGTACATAAAAGGACTCTAGAATAAAATTTTGATAAATTAGGTAGACGGTGGAATGACGGCGAACTCTTTACTGATGCAACTCCAGGCAGACTTGGCAGGCGTCACGGTAATAAGACCGATGATGGCCGAGAGTACGGCATTAGGGGCGGCGATGGTAGCGGGGGCCGCGGTCGGTCACTGGGATTTGGACAGCCCGTCGCTGGATATACCGGCGATAAGGTGGTCCCCAAAAATAAGCGACGACGAAAGAGATGTTGCTTATTCCAAGTGGAAGATGGCGGTGGAGCGGTCTATGGGCTGGGTCATATAATTGCTGTTGGTTTATCTAAAAAAATTGTGTAGGATCCTTTAACACGTTCATATATTTTGTTGTTCAGAGTAAAATATTATCAAGGCCTAATTGGTAAAAGTTTAGTACAATCAAAATAGGTTCAGTCTTGTAAGTGGTTCAAAAAAATACTTGGTATATTTAATAAGCTTTTTGCGTTATAAATTGATAACATTTTTTATTACATGTGTACGTATTTTCCAACAATTCAGATTTTATATTGGTGCTTCTGGCTGGAGACAAAGACAATGATTTTATGATGTTTGCAGGCGATCGATGCCCTCAGATCTAACAAATTACACATTTATCATTATTATTGCTTATAACGTTTATTACTTTTATTATCTTATTATAACAGTTTACACGTATTGTCTCTTTTGGAGGTACTCGTCATTAGATCTGACGGCGCCGACCAACGTCCCTGGACGAGGGTTATGTCAACAGTTAGACGGACGCTCTTGTCCTGCATAAAGATCTATACTGACATCGCTTGCACGCGGCACTGGTAATTATTGCAGGATTATATACTTATTTGCTGCGATAGGCCATATATTTTTATCATGTAATAGAAATTTTATTAAACTGCTAAGCATTTATTTTTAATCTTTATGAGTTATATCAGAGTTTAATTGTCTGTAATAACAAATGTAGTAAAATACTATACGTATATTAATGAGAATAAAAGTATGTTTTTTTTTTTAATATTTTTGTCCCTGCCGATATCTAATTTATTATAAGCAAACCTGTTTTCTCTGCAAGTGTCGTAATAAATCATAAAAATTTTAGATAATACCATTCTGATTCTTCTCGTAAATTCCATAACATTTTTGTTAGTTGTTTTACATTGACAATTTATTCATGAATAAATTTACGAGGTTCTTTATGAATTAATTCTCGAATTTATTTGTAAACGGTTTGGTTTTACACTGCTACAGAGACAGACAGACTTCGTGAATTTCTTTGACGTGAATCAGCCCTACCAATAAATCGAATGAAGCAAATAAATTTGAAAAATGTCACCTTTCCACTCATAATTGTAGTAGTACAACATCGGTACAGTTTTAACACATATTATATAAATATTAGGTTTTGTAAGTAACAAATCAGTAAAAACAAGACAAACTAGTACGATGCCACACAATTATTTACATATTCCAGTAACATAACCTCATTACATTACTAATCTGAGGCTGAAAATTTGTTGGGTTGGTACTTCTCAACTTCACGAAGAAGTTGACGAAAATTAGGACATGTTCGAATTCATCAAGAGCTTGAATAAATTCATGAAGTTATTTGACAGCAATTTGGTGCATTACACTTATTCAATTTCTTGATGAAGCGACTTCATCATAGAAAATATAGTACCAACGTTAGTACTATATTTTCTATGGACTTCATGAATTAATTGATCGGGTTCATGAATTAATTGTCAATGTAAAACAGCTATTAGAGATTGCAACTTTGTTTTGGTAATATCAAAATTTTTTAGACTGATGAACAGTCTATAACTTCTTTATTTTTTAATCTAGAAAGATCCGGTTTGATTTGCTGGAATTTTAAGACATAATACTAGAGTGACGACAGAATTTTTTTATATTTTCAAGAGATAAAAAGTTGGAGGTGGTTTGATAAGATCACCTTTTACGTCACGTGACCCATCCAAAATTATTTAAACTAGCGAACAGCCCCTAACTTTTTTATTTCTCGACCTAGAAGAATGCGGTTTGGTTTGCTGGAATCTACGGAAGAAATGCTAGAGGGACGCCATGTTAGTTTTTCGATATTTCCAACTGTTAAAAAGATATAGAGGGGTATTGTTAGATCACGTTTCAAGTCACGTGACTATAATTTGGTTAGGGAACACACATTAAGCCGAAAGGAACGCTCTTTATCTAACCATCAAGTCAAATGTCACAAATGAAAGTGACTTAACCCAACTTTTGTGAGCGATGATGTGTAATACCAACAAATCATGAAAAAGTACAAATAAATGTTTTATAAATTATAAGTAGTTTTACTGCTAGCGTGTGATGAGGAATACAATATTTAAAAATGACGTTTTTACAAGATACAGTTGTAGTTCTGGCTTCTCAAGTAATATCTTAGCTTCTAACAAAAAAAAAAAAAATTATGCCCTTACATTTGTAGGTAGCATTTTTCGTGGGGGCATGGATATTCTTTATGAAGCAACTATTTAAGGATTACGAAGTGAGGCATATTATGGTTCAGCTTATATTCTCCATTACATTAACGTTATCATGCACTATGTTTGAATTAATTATTTTTGAAATATTAGGCCTATTAGAATCGAGGTAAATTAAGGATGTGTTAACATTCCTACTGAGAAATAATTTCCTTTATTTTTCAGCTCGAGATATTTTTATTGGTGCCTAATGCTGTATTTACTTCTCTTCGTCGTGATAGTGTTGAACCCATTTTATATTGGCTACTATTGTATAAGCAGCATTAGATATGGTGAGAACTTTTGTATTCGAACAAAATATAATAGTCGTGTGTTACGGAGTGATGTTTCAACCTGTTTTTCTTTATATTTTTAATTTTAGTTAAGCCCGATTACGTTAAGCATTTAACGATACTTATATGGATAGCTTTTATAATAATATTTTGGAAAATTGGCGATCCGTTTCCTATAATGAACCCCAAACAAGGAGTTTTGAGCATGGAACAGTTGGTATCGAGAATCGGAGTTATAGGAGTGACCGTAATGGCCCTTCTGTCGGGATTCGGAGCCGTGAACTATCCCTATACGTCCATGGCTTATTTTATGAGGTACACTTTTTAAAACAACATTTGGCGATACCGGATTTAATATTTTTCCTTTCGGTTTGAATTTCAGGGAGGTTTCGGAAGCAGACGTATTAAACATTGAGAAAAGGCTGATGCAAACCATGGATATGGTTCTCATCAGGAAGAAGAGAATAGCAATAGCAAAAAAACAGTCTCTTGAAAAAGTGGATTCGGCAAACAAAAGGAGCATCTGGGGAATGCTTTCATCCGTCGGCAGCAACAGAAGTCATGAAAGTAGGTAGCGGTACGGAATTGTATATATCTTATTAATAATTGTGTTGATTTTTCTTTTTCTACTACTGAAGGACTGATTTTCTTGCTCCAGATATATCTCAACTGAGATTGGAAATCGAAGGATTAGAGGAACTAAGTAGGACCCTGTTTCTGGAGGTGCACGAGAATCGTAACATGTTGGAGAGGATAGAATGGTCGAAAACTTGGAAGGGGATATATTTTAATTTTCTCGGCTATATATTTTCTGGATACTGCCTATGGAAAATATTCATCGTAAGTACCTTTCAACACATACTGAATTGAATTGTGAAATAAAAGTAATGTCATACAGGATGTTCAGTTGGTATCCAGCCATACATTCTACGGTAAAAATTAAGCGAGTTAACTCGGACAAAAATCTCTTCTTTTTTACAAAATTATGATTTAGGTATTTTATTTTTGCGGTTTTCTTCTAGTGCACGATAAATATCGTGTTCGATAGGGTGGGCAAGAAGGACCCAGTAACGAGAGGCATCGAAATCGCGGTCCACTGGATGGGATGGAATTTCGACGTTAATTTCTGGTCGCAGCAAGTGTCCTTTTACTTGGTCGGTTGCATCGTAGTTACGTCGATAAGAGGCTTCATTATAACGTTAACGAAGGTACCACGTTTCTATATAATTTATACTCTCTACACCCCATTTTATTTTCCAGTTCTTCAACAGAATGTCGTCGAGCAAGAGCTCCAACATAATCGTCTTAGTTCTGGCCCAAATAATGGGTATGTACTTCGTATCGTCGGTGCTGCTCCTGCGGATGAATATGCCGGTGCAGTACCGCGCGATAATAACTCAAGTGCTCGGCGCGTTGCAGTTTAACTTCTACCACCGCTGGTTCGATGTGATCTTCTTGGTTAGCGCCCTGGGCAGCATCGTTACCCTCTATCTCGCTCACAAACAGCCCGTGAGGGAGAGCATGTAACGGTTTAGGTTAAGTTCAACAACTTACGTTAGATTTTAACACCCAACATTCTTTATACCGTTTTTTTTTTATCGTATTATTTTATATGTATATTAATTTATTTATAACTGCTATTAAGTGAACGATTATATTGAAAGCCTGATTATAATTTTGAAATAAAATGATAAGCTTTATGTTATGTTGACGTGTTAGTCTTTATATTAAAAAAACGCGACATTTTGGGGATTTACCGAACACATTTACGGGATCAGAAAAAGCAATTGCTTTAAAAATTAATTAACGTTGCTAAACGCACAAATTTGAGCCCTTAAACTTAAACACATAAGTAAAAAAAAATAGCACTTGGTGCAGAATGAGATGGGGTAAAGGTAAATATGCTACTTTGCCACTGCGCATCGCAGCATCAAAATCATAGTGTCATAAAGGGGAAATTACACTATTTTTCTTGAGAATTAGCAAAAATTATCAAATTTAAAACGGCGCGATTGGTTATTAAGTAATTTCCTATTTAATTCAAATGTATAGGTTAACTTAATAGGTAAAATCGGCTTTTAAAAATACTAACGCAGATTTATTTTTCACTTTCTTAGCCTTAGCTAAGTGCCCTTGATCTGCCCCTGTTGTTCTAGGGCTAGGATCTGTGGGGGCGGATCGTTATTAGAACCTCGAGTTTCTGCTTTAATGTTCATTTTGGTTCTTACTGTCGATTTTAAGGCCATTACAGGTAGAACTGCTTTTCAGTTACACCTAACAGAAATGTTAATATCTCTGGCTACGATGGTACGGATAAAAAAAATATTTTCTATAAATTGCGTCGTTTTTAACTTTTTCCAAATCCGTCCACAGAATTAAAATTAAATCGAATTTACATGCTGAATGTTTTACACTTTCGTGAAAAACCATGCGTGTAAAACCTCAAATGCCCAAAAATTAATAAAATCGAATTTTACAAACTGTATTTGATTACAGGTTTCGTGAGATTAATGTGCATGAATTGAGGAACATTTTCCGAAAGTTTCATGATGTTTAATTGATTTTTAGAAAATTGACAACGATTTTAAGAAACACCGATTATTTCTGCAATAAAAAAAAATTATTTTATAGAAAATTTCATTTATAACAAAAATGATCTCTAGCATTTTCTTCTTGTGAAAAAATATTAGGGTTTGTGGAAAATGAATATGTGAGGACGTTTTGGGCCTAAGAGAAAAATAGGGTAAAACCTTCCAATAATTTCGGATAGATCTGATTTTTATGAATGTTTGGAATTACGCTTATTTCACCCTGTAAATAAAAAGTTATATGTGCTTGATAGGCGCTTCTTATTTTTAGGGGATAAAAATCACCCCTTATGCTAAAAAACTGAATAAATATAAAAATAGACTAAAATCATATCAATATATAGAATAAATATTGTTTTATATTGTGGATTATAATTTACGTTATTTTTATAAAGTTTCAACCCTTAATGATAAAAATATAAAATTAATGGTTTCTTTGACCTTAAAATATTTTTATAGCGCTTATATTATAGACAGAAATCTTTTCAATAGTTTATGATGTTATGAATAATTTATTACAATATTCCAACCCATAAAAAAAACTACCCCTAATAACAAAATAATAAAAAAAATAGTTTTTAACAGTTTGAAATGATTTGATAGGAAATAAATGAAATTCTTTTATCTGTTTACAATACAATTTATAATTTATCGCATTGTTTTGACCCTTAAAAACCACCCCCATTGAAAAAATGTAAAGAAATGGCCTTTAATTGATTTAAAATGGATTATAATGCCTTATAGTGTTTATCAGATCACTGGGTTTCTTAAAAATCGCCACAAATAAAAGCAATTTTATATATTTAAAGTTGATAAGTAGAATTATTAAAAGGAAAAAGTGAAGGTATTCTACATATGTATACAAAATGTAACAAAGTTGCGGATAACCAAAATATTGCTCGGAAAATTGAAGCGGTAAGGTTTTTTAATGATAACTTCCTTAATTTTAAAGCTATTAAGACGATCTAAAAACGATTTTACGGAAAATTTCGACAGCTAAAAGTAGGTACTGTAAACTTGAATATTTTTCAACGCGTTATTTTTTGAGATTTTTGAGGTTAAAGGGTTTGAAAAACATGACAGCGACATCTCTGTTAATTTTTATCCTACACAAATAAAAAAAAAACAAAATATTTCAAAACTTTGGCACTACTGAACGTTTTTCGTATCTTTTTTATTTTCAGTTATTTTCAAAAATGTTTTTTATTTGGTACCTAATTAAAACGGTTTTTTTTTCAATCTAAACCTAATATTTAAAAAAATATGCATTCTAAACCGCTTAAACTTGTATAATATATTGTTAGCACACAAAAATTTTAAATCTAGTGAAAAATTCATCAGTTTTTGTACCGATTTATTTTCTCCGAAAAAGCGAATTAACAGTCTTACTTTGATCATAACTTTAATAATTTTTACGCTAATGACTTAAAGACAAGTTCATTTTAAATATTTTTTAAAGTACTTGTAAATGTTCTGTGCATTTTTCTTGAAAAATATAATTATTTTTAGTTATTTTACGTTGAATGCCTCCAATTTAGTTTTTGGCGGACATGAAATTATCTTCAAACAGCCGTATGTCTGCACCTTATTGCACCTAAATGAAAAAAAACTCAATCTTTTTCTTTTTCTATAAGCTTCATTTTCTTCGAGATGTTTTTTTTTCCATAGAATGTCTATTCTCTGAGTTATTCAAGAAAAACTACTAAAAAACGCCTTTTTTTAATAAAAAATGTACATTTCCAATCACCAATAATTCAGAAAATATTTATTTATCGAAAACTGTTCATAAGATACTTTTTGCTTAAAATTGATTGCTTTATTGATTCCTGGGGTTATTTTCAATATTTTATTTTTACCTCCTGGGAAAAAGCACTTATCGACACTACATGGTTTTGTTTCTTGAGCTATTTTTTACTTGCAGTCCAAGTGTCGCGTCAATCGGTTCTATCCGAAAGAATTCAGAGGGAAAACCCTTGGTTCCCTGGACCACTAACATAGAAACCAGTCCTTTATACCATGTTTCCAGTATGTCTGAAAAACTGAAAAGTAAAAGACCATGTGCTGATACCGACTATACTGAAAGCTGAAACCTACGCGGAAGGCGTGGTCGCAAAACGACGGAATGTCCACGTCCAAAGCCATCTAGCATCTAGGCCAAGCAAAAGAAAAATCAGTCGTCAACGCAAGGTTATTCCCCCGAAAGTGTGCACTTAGTGGGCTAGTCGTTCGCGGAATCCTGTGTAGACGAAGCCTGAAATATTGATCTTTTAGGTTATATCCCCGAGGACCGATCTACGGCGCTTTCGGCGCGCGTATAGCCGAGATCGGACTTCGTGGACCGACGACGGAACTACCCGACCGCCGACCGCAGCGATTATTCCATCCGGCAGGCCGGTAAATATCTCCCAACCAACCCGTGTGGTAGCGCCGACGAGCTCCCGATTAATTGTGCATGTTCGAGTGTATTTTGGGTGGTATAACAATTGGTCGTGGTGTGTGAGAGGCTCTCCGCTCGCGATCCGTGCGGATTTTCGCCACAGAGAGCGAACTAACACACACATACACAGTAGAGATTTGAACAATTCGCGAGTGACTATGGCAGTACCGCCAATGGCCTGTACGCGATTTAGCGACAATTATGATTTGAAGGAAGAGCTAGGGAAGTAAGTACAAGCATTTTTATGTTGATGGTGTGTATTTGTCCCTGGCGTGGTTCACTTCTCGGCTCGGAGGTTTTATATTCGACGCGGCGGCTAATGGACGATTCCTCGTAGGAAAATGTGTTTTGGGGGCCTGCACACGAAAATAAACCCGGTTCTACGGCGGCGTTTATAAACGTCTGTGCGTTGCGAGGCCCGGTCGAGCCGCTGTCGCCTGAAAATCGCTGAAATTCCGGTGCCGTTTGAATATCTGCATTGGCGGCGAGAAAATCAATATCGCGGAGGCTCAGCCCTGTGCGGTATGACAGGTGGTTGTCTCCCGAATAAAATATTTATCCCGTCCGAGGAGGACGCCTCGAATTTGGGACCGCCGTCTTGTTTCGTACACCTGAAATTTCACGTTGGATCGATGGGGTATCGATTTGTCGCAGACGAACTCCGTGTTGCCGTACACATGTCGATTTACTTATCAGCCTTTTTTTTATTAGCCTGCTGTGTTTTTACTGGTGTTTCATACATGCAGATTACAATAATAATTTGTATTTTGTCTGTTTTCGCAGGTTCGCAATTGTCTGGAAAATACTAAAAAGCGCATTCGAAAACTTATAAAAACACGTTTGATGCTTCATAAAAATTCAAACCTCTGAAATCTGTATTTAAGATTTTCCAAGAATTTTCGGCAATTTTCTTTTCTCTAATTCACTTTTGACCAGAATTTTGGTTCCAAAACATTCGTTTTCACGTAATGTGTACTTCATTCAAAAAGTGTACGGGAAAACTATCTATTTGAAACCTTTTCTCGAAAAAATGCATCTTCATCGAGGTAATAGCAGTTTTTGACCAAAAAGCGCGGAAAATCATGTATATCTACAGGGTGTCTTAGTTTTAATCTACGAGATTTCGGGAGCAGATAGTATCAACTGTTTTTGAGATACAGGCTGGTAATAATTAAAAAAAAACATTTATTGCAAATAACTTCTGAAATAATAGAGGTATTTGAACTAAATTTGCTGTACATTATGTTGGGTCAAATTTCCATAAAATGTCAAGACTATTGGACTATGATTTTCAACAAAAACCGTATTAACTGAAACAAGATTTTAACAGTGTTTATTAGAAAATAATCGAAAAGTCAGTAGTAGGCGATGAATTTATCTTTCAAACCTGTCAGTTAGTAATAAAATTATTTTATTTCAACAATTGCCTCTGATTGTTGTTGAAAAAATATAAATTATTATTTTTATTACTTATTTGTGTTTTTTACTTAATACAATAATCGCTTATTTAAAAACTACCTTAGGTACTTGTTTTCTTTTTGTAGAATTAGGAGAGAAGTGAAGTAAAATTTATTTGTCCAATTGTCAAATTTGGAAGATAAAGCCTACTACTGACTTTTTGATTATTTTCTAATGAACACTGTTAAAATATTGTGTAAGTTAATACGGTTTTTCTTGAAAACCATAAAGTTTTTTAAAATTTAACGAGTAAAAAAAATAAAATTAAATTCTGCTATGAATTAATATCACTATTTTTCAATTCGGTCAATGAAAAAAAAGTTCGGTACAATTTTAGAGGTGAGTCATCCCCAATGAACATCTTGTAGTGCTTCAATTAACTTTAAATCCTAGTCAAAGAAGACCAGTAATAAACCTAAATCATGTACCAAATTTGGTTCTTCTACGTTAAAGTGTTATTGATATTTTTTTTCGAAATTTCGAAATTTAGTTAGTGAAAAAGTTACCCCACATACGATGGAACAAAAATGCCTATATTTTGTCTATTTCTGTCTCTGTTTTACAGCAAATTGGATTTTTTTAAAATTCCTGTTAGAAATATTTCGGCTAGTTTCAAGTAATTTAAATAAAAAATAAAGTAGCATCTTTTATTATTCGATTATTACAAGGACTTAAAGAGAATAATTAATTTCCATGTTTTTTAGATTTCTCAAACATTTTTTACCGCTAGTAAATTTTTTTTCGTAATAATGTTTCACTAAATAAAATTTAAAGCAAAAATAAATGTATGAAACAACTTACAAAATATGAAATACACGAAAATTTAACTAAAAGGTTAATAACAAAATTACATAATAAATTCAGTGCTAAAAATTAAATTAACAACAGATTAACTAATAAACGATTATTGCTGCTACTAACAGTATTTCAGTACATAGAAATTCGAAAAGTACAAAAATTTTCTTAAGCTAAGAAAATATTAGATTGGAAATTTTTAATAAAATATTTTATTTACTTTTAATCTTGAAAATTAACACACTACATTATTTTTTAAAAGACAATTATAATAAATTGGTATAAATATTTGTTAACAAAAGACTAAAAATATAAAATTTTATGTTAAAAAGTAATGCCTACATTTCCATATTTTAAAAAGTTAGCTCTGGAATTTTAAATTAAAAAAAGAAGAATAAAAACCAGGCTGAGAAATACTAAAGTAGAAGATTTTATTAATAAAGTAGTAGAAAAATTTTCAAAAAATCCGAATTGAATTTCTTTTTTTTGTTTTTTTTGTATTAAAAAGATTTTATTAAAAATATTTCCAAAAAATTCAATTAATTCACTGTACCTACCTATTTCTACCTATAATTTATATTTCTCCCATCCTCTCTCTTACCTTTATGCAGATACTTCTTATTGTTATGAATGTGATGGAAATTCTAAAGCATAGACTAAGATTCCTCGATAGAAAGTTTCCTAATCATCGGATATTTACTGAGAGTTTTGGAAATTAATGATTCTTTTGAAGTTCTTGTAATAATCAGATAAGAATATTATTGATTCAACAGATGCTACTTTATTTTTTATTTAAATTACTTGAAACAAGCCGATCTATTCCAATTTGCCGTAAAACAGAGACAGACACCCTGTATATTATTACGTCCAACGCCACATTTGAATTGATGCCGTATGTGTTTTATCTTTTTGACCAATTTGACAAAGCTACTGTCGCAACAAAATTTGTGGCATTAACCACCTAATATAATCATTACTCGAGCTACGTATTTATAAATTTTTACGTTTAAAGCAAAAGGAAACGACATAATTTGTACGCCTCTTTAGTATCGACGCAGGCGGCACTTCAGTATTTATATAAATTAAAATGTACAGGAATCGTTTCGAATAAAACGTAAAATGCAGTGTAACACGTCAATTAATCAGTCAGTGGAAAGTATTTACGTATACGGACTGACAGCTAATCAGAACATCTTAGAGCTAAGAAATTGACGTAACAAAAAATCTCGCGATGCGTAAAAATGTTCTAAAATTATTTAAATCAAATTTATCAAGTTCAAAAGTATAAGTTATTTTAATCAAGAAAGAATCAAAATTAAACTATAGGCCCTATAGTTTAGTTTTGAATCTCTAGGGTATCTAGGGTATAATTTCGTAACGAGGAAAATACTAAACGATCAAAACATTAATTTTAGAGAGAATACATACTCAAAAAACAAATTTAATAAATAAGTGCTTACCTAAATTATTGAAAAATAAGGTACTTAAAACAGTTTGTTACTACAAAATTCGTTTGGTTGTTGTTAAGGAAATTTGTAATTTTCGCACAACCCAGATCATAAGCACAATACAACTGAAAACACGATGAACACTGCACTACTTCACGTAGTAAAGACATAACACAAGACGTTACAAATCAATTTAAACAATAGGTAATTCTTAATTTGCAAGTTACAGACCGTTCAAGTTTTTGAAAATCATCAGGGATACGTAAATCTCTCGAAAAATACCCGCGCAGTAACAGGTTAGGTCGATGTCGATAGCGACTGTTTTTATTTTTACAAAGCCATCTGTACTTTCAATTTGATATTGTTATATATGCTAACATTTCTCTTCTTCTTTAAACTCGATCCAAAATAGCGAACATGGTCAAAAAATTCACAAAATTCACAAGAAACGGTTTTTCTTAAATAAATAAAAAACTGTAGCTCCCATCGAAAAATTTTAAATGAGAAAGTTGTAGGTTTTAAAAAGATTTATCGACTTTTATGACTTTCCATACGTAGCGATTGCTTTGTTACTATTCGAGATATATTGAGAAAAACCGTTAAAAATCTTCTCTTTTCTCTTCCTCTATAACTCGTTAACATTTACGTTCCCATACTTGCTATTTACTGCAAGTATAGCCCGCGGCAAGCAAAAAAGCACATTTTTGAAAAATAAAAAAATATTAATTATTTTTCTATATACAGTATGTCCACGGTTAGAGTGGAAAATAGGGAAAATATTTTCATTTTTTATTTTATGGGGAAAAGGCATTCTTGATTAAAATTTTTGCTTGTCTTTAAAATGCGGTTGGCATGGAGAATTTTCATCTTGCATGTACAGGGTGATCAGAAGATCGGTAAACATAAAATTCGTTCAAGAATAAACCGCCTTTGTTTTTAACAATACAGAAATTTGTTATTAAGTAAAGTTGCTTAGAATTGAAATTTATATTATAATTTCAATTTATATATGAATCGGCCTACGTTGACAGAAAGGGAAAAATGTTTTATTCATTTTACGAGAAAAAGGCATTCTTGATTAAAATGTTGGCTTATCTCTAGACATTTTAAAGATATGCAAAAATTTTAATCAAGAATGTTTTTTTCTCGTAAAATGAAAAATAAACATATTTTTCGTCTTTTCCGCTCTAACCGTAGAGATATTGTACATGGATTTTTTGAAAAAATGTCTGTCTCGGAAATTGTCTAGATCTTCTCAGTAACGATTTTTATTTTCTTCGTAAAGAATTGTGTTACCATGCTATTAAAATTTTTTGACTATTTTATTAATTTTAAAGACCAAAAAATAGTCCCGGAAATATTTAATTTTTATTTAATTTACATTTTTTTTTACTTTTATGGTCATTTTAATTAATTATTACAACAGTATTTTTCGTGAAATACCTTAATTTTTTTGCTAATTACTAATTACTACAATTACTAATACTAAAAATCAGTGAAACATATTCCATTATTTTTTTCTTGA